ACGGAGGCTAGGTGTAAGTAAACTTACGCGAATGAAGGTCGGACTGCTGCACGCGTGTACGTATGTGTATATACCAGTAGTGTAGGGTCTTCGTCGTGTCCTCGTCCTCGTCCTCCTCCTCGGCGTCGTCGCTTCCACTCACTCCCCGATGAATACGTGCACCGGCTGCTGCTCGTCGATGGCAGGAGGTGAGAAATAGCGGGAGGAGCTTCTCTTCTCGTGACAGAACATCGAGTGCTTTCGGTATTTCAATGGCGGCGTGGAAAACGATGCGTTTGCACCGGGGCAGATAAGGCCTTTGAATACACCCTCAAGGGCTTGAGCATATTATACCTGGGGAAAAAGTGGCTACGGGTACTAGGTGTGTGTGTGTGTGTGTGTACAGGGTATTTTAGAATCGGTGTAGAGAATATTTCGAGGAAAAATTGTAGATTCGTTTTTTATTTCCTGTTAGACCCTTGTTATTTAGAATTTAGACCACGCATGGACGATTTATCAATTTTTCTTTTGTAACTCATTTTGAATAATCCTGTATACTACGCGTTTGGTAACCAAGTTGAATGGAGACCATTTAGGGTGGTTTACTGCAGGAAGCAGTAGCCATACGTAGAAGAGGAAGAAGAAAAGGCAGGTAATAAAATATAAATGCCCGAAGGGATCGAGAGGACAGCTGTCGCGTGTTGTACGAAACGATCGACTCTGAAAGTGTCGTGTCTCATGTCCTAAACGAGAGCAAAGTTAGCCCGTACGGATACCTCGATCCCCAGAAGCTGCTCCCACAGTGCAGAAGGAAAGGAAGGAAGGAGGGCCCCAAGAGCGGGCATAAAAATTCTATGACACGTCGAAACTTTGGCAACAGCGATTCATACGGTTCCTTTTATCCGCACCAGGAGGTAGGCTGCCACGATTCCACGAAACTTATCTCGCGCTAACCATCTCCGTTCCGACATAAATCCGAGAGCTTCGAGATTCCTCGCATTTTTATGATAATGCCACGCCACTCTGTATTCTTCTCGCGAATGGCCTCTTCCGTTCTTCCTCCGAGGAGGGCAGCGGTTCTTGGAAATATATCCAAGTCTCGAACTCGTCCCCCCACCCCCTCCGTGTTTTCTTTTACGCGCTCGATTTATCCAGGAAGGAAAGAAGGAGCGCTCCTTCGAGAAAGACAGAGAGGCGAGAGACGAAGAGCGTATCACTCGACGGAAGGCTTTCCTTTCCAGGAAAACGCGACAGTTGTAACCAGACCGACTCCACCAGTGGCTTCTCCAACAGCTTCAGGATAAATAGTGACTGGCCATTACCGGGTAACGAGAAAGAGAGAGAGAGAGGAGAGCAGAGGGTTTCTGCTTCGTTTTGTACCCCGGTGATAGAGAGTGGAAACAGATCGGGTCTCTCCTTTCGTTTCTAGAAAAGTCGAACAGGGAGAGGCACGTAATACGGCTCCTCGGGGATTCCACCTTCTCTCTTTGAGATCGTCGTCGAACGGCG